TGCCCAAAAAGATGTGAAACATATTGCCCAATCTAGAATCTTTAAAGAAATTCAAGTTCACTTGAATTTTATTTTAAACATTAAGAAGAAGAAAAATGACTGTGGTTATTTTCAAAGAAAATAATGGGACAATCACTGGCAGGGCTTCCAAGCAGTATGAATTTATTCAGCTATTATAGAAAGTGAGCATAAGGCTTGGATAGGCAATTTTTTACAGCTAGTTTTTAAATCACCACTGATGACACTTGGCTATTTTGTTTATTAAGTATTGCTTTAAATTTTCTCCATTACAAAAGGGTGTTTTTCTTTATTTCAATTTCACATGTTTGTAATTATCATGCAGTATAGTTTTGGTTAATAATTTCAACAGCTTCGCTATAAAACACCTTCGTTTGGGCTACAGTACCACCAAGGTGTTGGCATCGATCCATTAAAATATCTACCTGTTCACTGCCAAATAAATCTGAACAATGATACTTTAAGTTTCTGGCCTATCACAAAATCATGATTATTTGGTCAATTATAATGTGATCCTGCTGATTTGATATGAATATAAACTTACTGCTGTGCTAAGAAAAAGCAGAAGCACTGGAATAAAAATCTATAAAATTTTATGATTTGTACACTATAATAATGATAATGGCAATCCATTCTAAAGAGGAACGTTTAAAAATCACAGGGTTTTTGTCAAATGTGGTAAGAGTATTTAAATTATTAATATTTAGCAACATCACTTTAGCTTTGCTTGCATTAGTGAAAAGTCAAAAGAAACAGATTTAAAAAAGTATCTGAAGGCATTCAACACAAAAGTGCATATTGTGACAAGTCAATATATATACCGAAAAACTCAATCAACTTGAAAGGTGTTTATATACCTAAAAAATAGCAAAGTACAAGCTTTAATTTATTAAGCAATAATCATAAGCAATAATCTGCTCTACCTTTTAAGAGGTCATGTTGCATATATATAAACTGAAGTCCAACAGACAAAACATTGCTTAACAATCTCCACTCATTTCTAGGAAAAACATCCACCTCTGGAAATGGAAATTCAATCTTGTGATCTTCTATATCTACAAACATGCCATACACTTACCTTTGTGAGATGAGAAGTAAAAAGAAGGCATTTTGCGACATTTAATGCTTGAATCCACAGGATCTAAAATATTCCAATTCCTCCTAAACCAGCTGTTCTCAACCTGTGGGTCGGGACCCTTTGGGGGTTGAACGACCCTTTCACAAGGGTTGCCTAAGACCATCGGAAAACAAATATTTTCGATGGTCTTAGGAACCGAGACACCGCTCCTATATGGTTGGGGGTCACCACAACAATTAAAGGGTCACGGCATTGGGAAGGTTGAGAACCACTGTCCTAAACTCTTTTAGAATTGGAAAATAAAAATGTTAATCCTGATCAAGTTAAGGGGGAATTTGTAACAATAAAATAAAAAATCCAAAAACACTATAACTCTTACCATTTAACTTTAAAATCTCTTATCTGCCAGTGCTGATTTGCCAATCAATTTCCACTATATCATTTCTGTTCCAACTGATTCATGTTTTCAAATATATAAATACAAACTTAAAATCTCTTTTAAATGTAAATACTCCTTAAGAAACTAAAATATTCACCATTAATTATATTTCTAAGCTGGCCAAGTTGGAATTCTTTTGATACTATCTGTTCCCACAAGTGTATTGTGCTACAAAATAGGACAGAACAACTTATTGCTACTTACCTGACAAAGAGACTCTCAGCATAGATACAAACAAAACTGCTATGGATAATTCTTATAAATTGCTTTAATGTGACTAATGTTATGCTCCATGGAATGTTGTTCAACTCCTATCTATTCTAGATAGAAGAACAATTATAAGAGATAATCAGAACTGCAGGTTTGAGATCACATGATAGCCATGTTTTTTAAAAAAAATGTTAACAGTTTTAATGTTAACAGTCTTAATCTTGTACTATTGCTTGAGATTTAACAATTCTTCTATTTTAAAATATGTTTAAATTAGTGAGTGCAAATACTGTTATTTATTTTTCAAATACTTAGCACATTTTCTTAAGTGTTACAAGATAAATGATCCTATTCTTCAACAGATTCAGGCTAACTTCGAGACAGGAATAGACTATATGGTATCTGTGGTCTCAATCTACCCTTCCTCACTTGGCTTATAACAATATTTGCAAGGCAAGCTGCCCTATATTTTTATTCATAAGAATTAATAAGAATGCCTCTGAGTACTGTAATCAATTTTAAAACAAAAATATGTTGTATGGCTGTAACTAACATCCTAACTGGATGCATACCAACTTCTGGATCGGGGATTGGATGTAAGAGGGAACATTCTGGGTAAGCTGAAGGGATTGACAATTTCAGTATTTGTGACAAATTTTATTTCCCATCCCTTCACATTGATTTAATCTTCCTCGTGTTAAATCAACATTTTCTGATTGACCAGGCCTACACTTGTAGGTACTATATGAATAGACAACAATACCCATCAGCCTATTGATAAGAGATAATCAGAACTGCAGGTTTGAGATCACATGATAGCCATGTTTTTAAAAAAATGTTAACAGTTTTAATGTTAACAGTCTTAATCTTGTACTATTGCTTGAGATTTAACAATTCTTCTATTTTAAAATATGTTTAAATTAGTGAGTGCAAATACTGTTATTTATTTTTCAAATACTTAGCACATTTTCTTAAGTGTTACAAGATAAATGATCCTATTCTTCAACAGATTCAGGCTAACTTTCAGCCCATGATTTCCATATAGCAAGAAGCTCCTTCAATCAGAGTTAGACATTCACTGAGGTAAGCAATAAAACAAATTAAACAAACGGAATTAGAAGGTTTTCATTATCCCATTCCTATGGAACTATATTTATATCTTTTTATTCCAAGTAAGGATGTATGATATGTCAACTGTCAAAGTCCTTTGGACAAAATAAAACAAAATATTCAGCTGCATGAATAAAAATCTCAACAAAATCCTTTAATAGACTTAAATTATCTTTATAATTTTTCTATTATTCACATTACAATATGTGGAAACATACACAATTTTTCACATACAAAAAAGTTTACTTTAATGACAATATTGATGATCTAAGGTTTTCCACATTTCCACATATATAATATTTTAAGTATTTTGCAAATTGCTCTTTCTGCGCAATTCAATGTTTTATATTATCTGAACTAGATCTAAACTAAAAGAAACCCCTATTTTCAGTTATACAGTAAGAGCACCCTCAAAATATAGCAGTTGCACACTTCACTTTCAAAATAATGACTCGATTGCTAATTATTCACTGAATTTAATACTTATCTCATAACTTTTTAAGAGGTGAGGGAAGCATTTTAGCTTTGCGCCTAGAAGATTCATCCTTTAGGCAGCAGATATATTTGGAATGGTTAACATCTTAAGTCGAAGTGTCAAAGCAAATTAAACATAAGAGACGTGTCAAGGGAATTACAATTCAGCATAGCTCCACTAAACCTTCTCAAATACATAACACTTTAAGGATAGAAAAGAAATTGAATCAAAGTTCACTGCACTGATCAACCTAATAATCGAACTATTTGCTGCCTTCCAATGGGGTGGAGAGGGCAGGTGATGGATTTGCAACACTGTACCATACATTACTTTGGTGACTTCATCAATTAGAAAAGGCATGCATACCAACAGAGGTGAGAGGCAGTGTTTGCCCATACAGTAACCTATAGACACTGAGTTAACACAATTGCCTAGTTTCACACAATACAATCCATCACCAACTAGCCAGCCACATTTTGGGCTAACCTCCACAACTCATCTAATCAGACAGTCAAAGAGCAGAGGGAAAACATTCAAGTAGCAACTAATAATATAGAATAGAATAGAATAGAATAGAATAGAATAGAATAGAGTGGAGCAGAAAGGAAGGGAACAGAATTCTTTATTGGCCAAGTGTGATTGGACACACAAGGAATTTGTCTTTGGTGCATATGCTCTCAGTGTACATAAAAAAAAAGATACATTCATCACAAATCATAAGGTACAACACTTAATGATGGTCATAGGTTACAAATAAGCAATCAAATCATACTAGGAAACAATATAAATCGTAAGGATACAAGCAACAAAGTTGCAGTCATGCAGTCATAAGTAGGAGGAGATGGGAATGATGAGAAGATTAATAGTAATAGTAATGCAGACTTGGAAGCCAAATGAAAATAGATGACAAGGTCAAGAAGAAGAAATGGCTCAAGGTTCAGTATCTATATAACCAATCTCGATGTATACATGATGTACAATGACAATAAAGGCTATACTATTATTATCTGTAGACAATCCATTGGGGCACTCCAGAAGCCCAGAACCTTTTACCAGCCCTTCCTCTGTCCTGCATCCAACACCCATCCCACGATCACCCAGTCGTGTGGAATCAGAGCCTATCATAATAGAGTCTATCAAACTCTATCGCAGGGCTTGTCAGCTTGAAGAATGGACACCCTCGGGTCCTAAAAGTGCGCCAAGAGCTGTCATCTCATCGACTTTGAACTTTATTTCAAATATTCCTCAGGGACAACCCGGGCGCTTCGGTGGGGAAACAATACACCGATTCCCAATGCCGTGGATGTGTCAGAGGAGGGGTGAAGGCTGAGGAAGCAAATCCTCACCCCACTTGGGAGACACAAGTTCACGGACGACCCCGGTAAAACGGGGAGGGGGAGCAGCCACGCTCGGAGACCCTGAGGGGGGCATAAGCAATGAACCCCCTCTTCCTCCCTCATTATTCCTGCCTACCCTGGAAGAACCACCTGCTACCAAGCTCTCCTTCCGCATCCACCGCCCCCCCCCCAAAGACACGGCCTACTTCAGGCTTTCCCCTCGCCTCTCTCCTGACAAATTCCCCAGAAACGTTTGCCCAGGCCGGAAAAACAGCCGTCCCTCACAGCCCAGCCCTTCGCCAGCCCCCTCGAGCAGCGCAACGGATTTCTTACCAGCTCTGAAGGCGACGACACCGCGACTAAGATGGCAGCCAGTCCAAGTCCAAGCTTAAGAGAGCGACTCCCAAAGCCGGGAGCCAAGGACGCATGCTCCAATAGAAAGAGTAGGGCTTGTGTGGGGGTGTGTTGTCGCACGGACGAAGCCGCGTATGACTACAATTCCCAGGAAGCTGCTGGGGAGTGCCGGTGTGCTATCATAGACTCCCGGGTAGAACCGTCTTTGACAAAGGAGTCGACTTAGATTCGCGCGCGCGGACCTCTGCTTTCTTGCTGTTTTCGTAGTAGTGGCGTTAGTTCTCGAGAAAATATATTAGGAGAATCATGGCCTTGACAATATATTCCTTTAGTGGTGTTTCTCACTAAATATTTTATAAACATTATACATTATTTAATATAAATATTAAATAAACGACGCTCTAGAGCAGTGATCTCCAACCTTGGCAACTTTAAGACCTGTGGACTTCAACTCCCAGAGTTCCTCAGCAAGCTGCTGAGGAACTCTGGGAGTTGAAGTCCACAGGTCTTAAAGTTGCCAAGGTTGGAGACCACTGCTCTAGACTAGAGCACTGCACACCAAGATAACTAGACACAAGAACATCGCTCTGCTAAACACCATCACTCTGCTAAACAAATAATTCCCTCATCATTGTCAAACTATTCACTGAGGCTGCATTACTATTAGTCTTCTCATCATTGCTATTACCCATCTCCTCCCACTTATGACTGCAGAACTGTAACTTTGTTGCTTGTATCCTTATGATTTATATTGATATTGATTGTTTCCTGATTGCTTATTTGTACCCTATAACTATCATTGAGTGTTGTACCTTATGATTCGTGACAAATGTCTTTTTATGTATACTGAGAGTTTACGCACCAAAGACAAATTCCTTGTGTGTCCAATCACACTTGGCCAATAAAGAATTCTGTTCTGTTCTATTTGTCTAGATCTCGCAGAGCTTTTGCTATTACAGCTATACTATCATATTAATGTTTGATTCTAGGAAGATATTTTTACTCCTTCAACTCCCCCCTTATTTGCATAGATTTTGTGCTCCCTATCAATATAATCTTAGTTTATTTAATATTCAGCAGCAGATCAGCTTTTGTATTCTATTTCTTCATGTTCAGCCAGAGGTTCTTTCAAGTCCTCCTTGCTTCTATCTGTAAAAGTGGTACAATTATATACATTCCAAGACATCATACAGATTCTTCAAATTAAACAGCCTGGTCTACTTACACTTTTTTAAGGGCTACTACAATTTGTACAATTCAACTCATTCAAAAACCTTGTGTAATCAATCAATAATAAAGGGGAGGGGGAGCTCTCATGCCTTTTTCATTGTCAACCAGAAATTAGTACTGTGATCACATGTACACTTGCATCTTATGAATGTATCTGGTATTTTTTGATAGTTCTTGTTCTATACATTGTTGAAGTCTGGATTACAAACTTTTGAGGATTGATTTACTAACATGAGATTAATGCAGTTGTTTGGTAGTTTGAGAATTCTTTGATATTCCCCTTTTTGACACTGGGATGTAAATTGATCTTTTTTAGACTTTTGGCCACTGCTCAAAAACCTCATGTAGCACTTTGAATGTATAATATTGAACGGTTTTAAACAATTATGCTGATATTTAACTAACCCCTGCAACTTTGATGATAGGAATATATTTCTGGTCCTGTTTAATTTCTCTTTCCAGAATGCCTATCTTTAGTTCATCGATTAAACCACTATAACAAACATTGATTTTGTAATCATTTTGTACTGCTGTTTATATACATTCATGAGATCTCTTATTTATCTTTTCCTCCTTTGATAGATTTGTTCTTTGTTTTTATTGCGCATATCTTTACATACAGTTTGCATAGTGTTCTTAGATAAACATCTTATCCTTAATTTCCTTGCATTGTTTATTTAGGTATGACTGTATTTTTTATGACCTAGGGGACAACTATTTTTGGTTTGCACTAAATGTATTTAATGAAATGTAAAACCAAGAATGAAATTATGAAATAGGTCAGGATTTTAAATTCTGTTCCAGTTTAGCCTGATTAGCACAATGAAAAAAGTCTGCCTCTGCTTCCAAGAAATTTGCCTCCTTGCAGCAAACAATGTGTTTCAGTTTCAATTTCAGCACAGCCTGATTACCACAAGCAGCTGATTGTCAGTTGAATCGGCCTCCTGAAGATCAGCTGTTTTAGGCTGCAGGGATTGCTATAGCCTATTGCTGCCTCCATGCAGAAATGTTTGGCCTCTGCACGCCCCATTTTCTGCCCGTTCTGGACAGCAGGACTCAAGGGTGGAGGCTGGCAGGTGGCCAGCTGCTCTTTGGGGCTCCACTGTGCATGCGCGTGGGCGGGACTACATTTGGTGGATAAAATACACCCAAATTTTCACCCTCTTTTAGGAGGGGAAAATGTGTCTTATACTCTGAAAAATACGATACTTCATGCAGCCATTTGTACTATACAAAGTGTAAAAGAACAATTTGTTTTTCAGAATCTCAATGGACTGAAAAGGTATTTAAATTATAAACACAATAAGCCAAAGTTATTTAGTAAACTTAGGGGAAAAAAGCCACTTTTGACCAAATCATTGTCCTGCCTCATCTCACTCACCTCAAGGGTAGAGAATCCCCTTCCCTCCAATTGTTCTTCATAAACATTTCCAGATCACCTTATTCACCTTCTGTACACCTATTCCAATTTGTGTGAATCTGTCTTAAAGTATGGTGCCTAGAAATGGATAGAATACTCAGGGGGATTTAATTCATAATTAAAATAAATAGCAGATTTAGCAATAGCAGATTTTTATATACCGCTTCATAGGGCTTTCAGCCCTCTCTAAGCGGTTTACAGAGTCAGCATATTGCCCCCAACAACAATCCGGGTCCTCATTTTACCCACCTCGGAAGGATGGAAGGCTGAGTCAACCCTGAGCCGGTGAGATTTGAACCGCTGAACTGCTGATCTAGCAGTCAGCTGAAGTGGCCTGCAGTACTGCACTCTACCCACTGCGCCACCAATTCACCAATTGATTTTTACTTCTGTCTTCCAGAGCATTAGCTATCCTACAACAATTTTATGTCATCTGCAAATTTGGCAACATTCTCAATTTCTCTTAATCTCTTCATCTAAGTAATAAAAATACTGAAGAATACAGGATCCGAGAGTTAACTTTGATACACCTCAATTTTCTTCCTTTTGGAATATGGAATATTTATATTTAACCAGATCTTTCCAGATAGAATAAGTACATACCAATTTTAGCTATTTTTCACTTTTTAAAACATGCTTATATAAAAATGTGTTGTTGGCTGCTTTGAATGTTGTCTGGGCTGAAAGATAGAATATAAATTCTGTGTTTGTATGCATATAAATGTTGTTCGTTTGGTTTGGTTTAGGGTGATGGGTATATCCAATTACTGACCTGTTATAAAAACAAATGAAGTTTTGACTACAAATGTAAAAAAATTGTTTAACAGAGAATACAGCTGGAGTGAGACTTGCTGGTGAGTGTTTTTTTTTCCTTAGCCCAAACATGTCTGGTTCATACCTACGAGAATATGCTGTCAGCCAGGAGAGTTGGAAGATGCTAATAAGCATATTTTACATTCCATTTTAGCTACTCTGCCCACTTTCAGGTGAATCAAAAGAAAAAAAAATACACCTCCTAATAAAAAAACCTAAGTCTTCTGTTCGGGATGGATGTAATGATCACTTCCTGAAGAACAAATACAACGAAGAGAAGCACAGCTAATTAATCTGGCAATTGCAAATATGTCAGTAATGTCTGACTCTCCAATCCACTACTGGAAGGTAAGAGATAATTTTCTGGTGTCTTAAAAAGGAAATGACACCATCTAAAAAGTATACACTTTATCGTGGGGGAGGGGAAAATAAACACCATCACTAATCAAACAACTGAAGAATTACAGGGCTGGGCTTTCAGCATTTATTTACCAGACCCAATCATAAGATTAAAAATAAAGGATTTAAAATAAAGAATTATTTAATTTTTATTTAAAAGTACAGGTTTGCAGACTAAATTTGGTGATTTGACTGAATTGTGAATTAAGAAGGCCTCTTCAATTGCTACATTGGAAAAAAAAATTACAATGTTCAGTTAATGGGACATCAGAGGCAGAAACCACAATCCTATGAAACGTGGATGGATTTTATCTCAGTAGCAATATATTATAACCAGACCCTTGACCTACCACTATAATTGAACCCCAAATTACAGTTGTAAGTCATTACAGTTATGTGTCAAGGGACCCACATGACTGTAATTTTCAAGTCTTTCTCATGTTGACCATTAAGTGAACACCATGATCATTAAGTAAAAACCATGGTTGTTAAGTGAACCCATTCTTTTGATTGGGCTTTTTTGCTGGAGACTGGCAAAAAATCATTATTAATTGGGGCCATGTGACTGTAGAACAACACAACCAGTCATAAAACTGATCAGCCTAACGTCATGTAACCATGAATGGGGTGCGGGGCGGCGCAGCACTAATATTTATGATGGGCCATAAAGCACCCATTCCGTGGCTGTTGTAACTTTGACCAATTGTAAAATGTAAAATGACGGGTCATTAGCTGAGGACTACTTGTAGTAAGGCTGGAATTAACACTAATAAGATTGTCCAGCTTGAAAACTACTATGTGAAAATTCTGCTGTGGCCTTCCACTCTCAATACTCCAGTCTCTTGTTGGCTCAAAAAAGGTGGGAGAGAAAGTCTGAAGAACTTAAATGCTAGAGTAAACCTGTCTCTCTTTCTCATTCTTTTTTCTGCAGTAGGAAGATCTCGCGCGCCAGTATATATGGCTTCTACTTTATTTGCAATAAAAGAACTTACCTAGAGAAAAGGTAATTTGGCTAGCCAGGTTTTGTGGACAAATGTATGGTCTAAATCACTTCTTGAATATGCAATGAAGTGTCTGAAGAGTCAAGATATATTACCATGCCAGGTGTGAGATGCAGGTTTGAGGGAGGTGGAATGCTGCATGAGATAATCCTCTTTTTATTGGAGTGGTGTTTTGTATATTGTTCTTCCAACTCAGAAATATAGCATTTCAAATTTCC